GAGCGACTGCATCACGCGATGCAATCGCAAGTCTGACCGACATCTTAGCTTTCTACCTGTATGTGGTCAGGTTTTCGACTGCGAGTGCTCTGCTCTGCGACCTCAGCCAAGCAAGAACAGCCGCTGAATGCCATCGCATCTGTGCACAGCCTTTGCAAATAACGTATTATTCAAGCGTTAACATATAAATGGATAACAATGTTTACGGGAAACTGAGATGAAACTTTCGAAGAAGAAAAACCTAAAATAGTTACGAAGACGCGTCAAAAGGAGCAATGGAATTGGGTCTCAGCCAAACTTCGTGAGAACCTGCGATGAACCTAGCTTATCCGTGCTAATGGCAATGCGATCAATCATGCTAAGTGCGTCGAGACGACATTATTCTTGAAACAACTTAATCAATGTAATACCCGAATATTGCCACTTTCGAAAAAATGGGATCCTTCTGATTCTTTGGAGATCATTTGCAATAAGCTTTTAAACCCTCACAGTGCTTTTGTAATTGAATTGAAGTATTATTTTTCATTACTTCTTTTCTAGGTAGCTCAACATGTTGCACAACTGAGTGTCGTTTGGCACCATCAGCTCAGTGCTCCCCTCACAATCAACCCTGCTGCAATACTACCTGTTCTTATCATCCGGCTGATCACGTATGTCTTCCAGGAGATCCACTGCAGTGTAAAGCTTCTTCGTATTGCACGTAAGTGGTTCTTATTCTGTTACCGCTGTTACAGTAAATGGTGAGATTTGTGGACTAATGCAGGCAACGTAGTTGCTGCAGTGTGCAGCGGAGAAGGCGTATCACTTTCATTTCATGAAAATATGTATTCCTTTTCAATACTACTTTTTTATACGATTATTGCGAAACGTTGTTCAGGGGATATTCGGGAGAATGTCCGAAGCGCTCCAGCTATTCCAAATGGTTCTCCCTGCATTGAAGAAGGAGAATGTCACGATGGAGTTTGTCTTCCATATTGTGAGCGTAAGAACATCGCCAAGAAGAGCTGTATATGCGAAGAAGGTACGTTCAAATTCACTACAACTTTTTCAATAGTTGGTGTAGGCTGTATGAAAGCAGTCACCTAAAGGAACTGCGAGAAAGATCTATTTCGCCACATGATTAGATGAACTCTCCTCGCTGGATTTAGTATTAGTATAGAGGAGTACCATCGTTCTTTCATCTCTACACCTTCCCTATTCTTGAAGAGTTTTTGCCTACTGTTCTTCATCCCAAAGTAGGGAGAAAACGTCATGGTCCTATAAGAGTCATCTGTTTCACGGTTATGAACCGTCAACTTAGTGTTTCCCAAAACTAATTGCGTTGCAGCCGAATGCAGTGAAACCCATGAAATTTCTCTTTTTGTACACATCAGTCAGGTTCGTCTCAATTTTCTTTTAGTTCACCTTTCTTGTCGCCGATG